TGCCCTTGTCATTTGGTTTCTATGTGGGCCCCTGTCCTTACCCCCTTAACTCACCCAAGGGTGGGAGCCAGGTCTGGGCACATGACCTGCTTGCTCCAGGGTCTGGCATGGCATTTGTGCCACTTTGAAACCACCTCTCATTGATAACTATTGATAACACCACAGACGATGGTGTGATTTTGAAATGGATGAGGGACCCTAAAATGCCTCTGTCAAAAGTCCCACACCTCCAGATTTTAGATTTACACTTGCAAATGTGTACAGCCATGTGGGCCCTCCTTCTAAGCCACAGAGGTAGAAGCCCATGCCCTCAGCTCCTGCCTGTCCACGCCTGTGCCCTGGAAGGGGGTTGGGGAATGAATGCTCAGCAGGAAGCCAGGGGCCTGTTTTCAGAAACCTCTAAGAGGGGCTAAACAAAAGGGCCAACTCTCAGTCAATTAACAGCTTTTTTCTTTTTTTAAAGATTTATTTATGCATACAGAACTGGGGTACAAGCCAGAGGTGCAGGGATGGTGAGAGGCTTCACCAGAGACAGAGTTGGGGGCAGAACAGGCAGATCGATGAAGTCCACTGCTGAGGGGAGCAGCGGACAGTCAGGAGAGGTCTCCCACACCATGTGGGTCACCTTCGGGGCCGGGGATTGAACTCGCACTGAAGCTGCTGCGGCTGGCTTGCAGTGCTGCGTCCTAACCCGTTGCACCACCAGGGAAGGCCAACAGCTTTTTTCTACCACAACTTTTGCCAAAGTGTGGCCCTTTCATTGTGGAGGGAGATCAGACACCAGGTGGCGACTGGGGTAAGAAAACCTGCTCACCAACCTCAGGTGGAACATGAGGGTGTGTACCCTATTCCAGGGAGGGGGGAGACAGAATTAAGTATAAATCGCTGGGGGAAATGAAAAGATTAATGTGTTTCTATTCAGTAGTGTTTGCAAACTAGAAAGCTTTCTTGTGGCTTCACCTTATACTTCTTAGGAGCCAGTGCCACATTTTGTGCCAGGCTTTTCCCAAACACATGTGTGTAACTGGCGAACGGGCAAGGCCTGATTAGATGCTGTGGGGGTGCAGCTCTCTGAGGGATTTGGATTCTATCATTCCAGGGACAGGCTAAGCCAGGCTCGCTAGTGCCAATCACCCCACATTTGAGGGGGCGTGCCCCGCTGGATCCAGCAGCCACGCCCACCGTCTACTCACTGAAAACGTTCCCTGCAGGGCTTGCATGAGCCCTAGCTCGTGCCTGCGCGTGCTGAGTGTCAGCCCCGGGCTCGGGCAGGTGTGGCTTGTTAGCTGCTCTGCTGTCAGCTCATGCCCGGCTCATCACGGCTCATGGGCATCAGCTGTGGTGGTGGAGCCCAGCAGTGGAGGGGCAGGGGTGCCCCATCTGCAAAAGGGAGGTTCCGGTGGGCCTTCACTCCAGGCAGCAAGGCTACAACCACAGCTGGACCAGGAACACACATGTTACTGTCACCCTTCGGCACAGCCAGGCTTTGAGGCCAACTTAGCAGAAGAATGAGAATGATAGGAAACTCAGAGATCCATCGAAGGGAGGTGCGCTAGCCCCAGGAGTCCCCTGGCAGTATGTGTGGGGTGGGGTGGGGTGGAGGGGAAGGCCTTGTCTGGCATGCTGGGGGGGGGGGCTTTCCATGTGGGAGGCACCTTCACCTGAGGGGGGAGTGTGGGCTTCACCTGGACCAAGTCCCATCTTAGTCCGCCCTCTGCACACATCTTAAGGAAGACAGGATTTCTCCCCTCTTTCTTGGGCTTCATCCCCAAATATGGACACAAGTCAAGCTTCCTACATGACAAGAAGAACCCCCCTGGCCCGTACCTATGGGGATGAGCGTGTACAGGCACCCCTTTTTAAGAAGCTCCACACAGCGTGGCACATTATGATAGGGTCCCTCTCACGGGGAGGGGGAGGGCACAGAGCATCATCGCCCGCCAGGCAACACTCCAAACAGAAGATGCCAGGTCACCTCTGATTGAGGTCAGGGACCAAGATGTGCCTGGATGGTGGAGCAATGGGGTGAGGTTCATGGCCAAGTCGACATGGGCCTCATGAAGCCAGGAAACACCCACCCCAGCCTAGGACAGGGAAGGGACACACATGACCAGTGTCAATGCTGGCAACTAGCTCACCATGATGGCCCGGAGTAGTTAGTGGGAAGAAGGGTCTTGAGGGCCTCTTCTTAAAGGCCACAGAGAAGAGAAAAAACCCTTTCAAGGCACTCAGTAAATCGCGGAGTAGCCCCCACCTGCTTGATGCTGCTGGGAAGCCAGCGTATAGGCCAGCCTGGGCCTGAGACCATGCCCCGCCTCCTTCACCAGCTCGCCTGGGCAGGCCAGTGGACCACTCTCCTCACCTGGAAACTGAAGAGACACCTCAGGCTCCCTGGAAAGTGTAAAGCCCTGGCTCATAGGAGGCACCCAGCACCACAGGCCTCAGCCTTAGTCTCTATTGTGGAGCCTTTCAAACCCCACCTGTGGGGCAGTGCAGAGACCACAGCATGGAGGACCACACCCAGCGTGGCCTCTCCCCCTCTTCCCCCCAGCCTCTGGCTGACCTGTTCTGCCTGAACCTTCCGGGCCTACGGGGAAAAGCTGGTGCCACTGGCACAGCCTGGAGAGAGCTCCTGACACAGGCCTGTCTGCCTGACTTCCTCCTCGGAGGCCGCTGCCACAGGAAGGCTGACGCCAGCTTCCTGGAATGAGGCTGCACACCAGCCACTGGGGTGATCCAGAACCTTCCAGCCCCTGTCCTGCGGGCCTGTTGTCCTGTATCTGGCCCCCTGTGGTTCTCACTCGATTATGGTGGCTAGGCCTTGTTTAATGAAGTCAGCAAACTGGATCTCTGCCCAGAATGATCTAGAAGCCAAGACTTTCCTATGTAACTTGCCCAAGTCTGGAAATGCTGGGGTTGATGTTTCATTGGCCAGAGAGGCAGCCTTCCAATAGAGGCTCTGGGGAAGCTTAGTGTGGGGAAAGGGACAGTTCAAATGAAAGACAGAAAGTGGTAAAGAAGGTGGCAAACACAAATAACTCAAGTAAATTATCCTAATAATTGGCCCGACCATGAGGCTGATCGTGAACCACATTGATACTCAGGATTGTTAACCCACAGCTGGTTTGGCAGAGAATTTCTGTGGAGCAGCTTAGCTTCATTGGTGTTTGGCTTGTGGGGGGGTTTGGAAGCTCTGTCTTTTTGTAGACCTGGTAGCAAAGGCCTCCCATGCAGTGGCTGCACTGGTGGGAAGGGCCCCACTAGCCATGGGTGCAGAGGTGCCCATGGGCCTTGCAGGGCCCCAGCAGCCCTTTCCTGGTCATCATTAATGGCCAGTCGCTAAACGAGCCAATCACTGTCAATCCTGGGCCCTGACACCTGGGAGCGGTTCACACAGCCACCCCATCTCGTCAGGAAGCCCAGGCCTGGTCCCCCTGGGTTATCCTCGTCAGTCTCCTGTGTCACTTTGTCCTTGTGGAAAGAAAGAGAAACTTCTCAACATGTTGAGGGCTCCATGAGAAACCCCTCTGAGCTGCTGTCTTCTGTAACACTCTGAAATGTGGTCACATGTGCTAGTTGCTCGGTGGGGCTGAGTTGCTTCTTTCTGGTGACTGGAACGGCACACAACTCCCAACAAGAAATAGGGCTGCACCCCCTGGGGGGAAAATACTCTTCAAAGGCACAGCCATGCGAGCCGCGCGCCTACTCGCGGGGCTATTTCCATCAGCCAGCGCTCCTTGAATTTCTTTAAACTGCCCAGTGGTTCAAGATACTAAATGCCAATCAGCTGGACTAGATTACAGACCAGGAAATCAAGTCTTGAAAGCCTAGCCCCGCTTCTGGTCCCCAACCTTTGAAACAAACTCACGTATTGACAAAGACTCAACATCTAAATAGACTTTTATTTTTTTTTTTCTTTGACTTATTTGGACAGAAAAGAAACTTCATCAGCTTTCATGAGCGTCTCCCTAAGTGTTGGAAACACATCAAACTCAGAAATAGTGCACCTTGTAGAAAAGCGTCACAAATTAAAAATATATTTCTCCATGTGGTAAAAGTGCTTTCAATCCAGTCAAAGGACACGGCAAGGGAGTGTGAGACAATCTGAAATTTGGCCTACGATCCGTGGCATCAAGTTAAAACCACAGGGTGAGGGGTTGCCGTGGCTGTAGGACAGGAAGGGACACGGAGCTGGAGCATGCTGTCGTTAACTGAGTGTGAACGAGGAAAAAACGTCCCAAAGCCTGAGTAGAATAGATTTTGCATTTGTAAAAATCCAGGGGCTACATAAAGTGGGTTGGGAGATGGTGTCACTCCAGAAGTGACTTGTTTCTCACCTGTGAGGAGGGCGGGACCACCTGACCCCTCTGGCGGAGGTCACCATGGAGACACGAGGAGCGTGTTGGGAAGAGAATGTTGGGGGGTAAGTGGAGCCCTCGTCGCCAGCAGCTGGACAGGTCGTCCTTTCAGGGGGCAAGTCCCCAGCCCATGGGAGTCACGCTACTGAGGAGAAGCCCCACTCCCACTGAGGGGCTCGCCACTGCCCGCCCTGCCATTCCGGGGGAGGGGAGGGTGTGCGAGACCAGCAAACCCCGCCGGGTTCCCAAACACAAGCAACGAGAAGCAGCGAGGCGCCCCGTGGAGACCCCTGCTGTTCGCTTCAGCCAAGCTCCCTACTGTTCTGCCAGCGATAACGACTGGTCAGAGCTCAGGGCCGCCGCAGCCCCGCGGTCCTCGATGGACAGCGACCACACCGTCCTGGAAGCAAGCTGCCCTATGGCCCCCGCGTGGCCAGGGCACAGGCACAGAACCGTGATCATGCAAAGGAGCCGGGAATGGGGCGAGGGGAGGATGACGGGCGGGAGAGAGTGGGACATTTTCCTTTTACAGAAGATCTTAAGCAACAGTAAGAAAATAACCTGAAGATATATTTAAAAATAAAAAATAGCATCACACTTCACTGCGATTGTGTTGGCGGTTTCCCTCCCCCACCCACCCCCTCCAGCCGCCGGACGACAGGTCAGAACAGGCCGCCGCGTCCGCTTCATCGCGGTGTTTTAATGGCACCCCAGTTGGTGTGTCTTTGAGGCCCACTCTAAGCACGCCGGGCCGTCTCCGCAGACAGAGCCCATCTTTGCTTCTCCTCACCGTCACTGTAGACATGGCGGGAGATGGAGCCACGCGCCGAGTGTCTTCACCTTTGCAAAGCAGGTGTGCAGGCGCTCCCAGCAGAGGGCGCTACGGGGCTCACCCCGTCCCGGGTGCCTTTGGTTTCCACAGCCTTCCCCGGCCCTTGCAGGGGTGTCCCGAGGACAGAGCAGCAGGACTGGCCGTCGCGTGGAGGATGGAGGAGTCTGGTCTGTGGCCCTGCCCCTGCAGGACGCTCATCACGAGGCGGGCAGCCAGGCCCGGAGGGAGGACGTCTCTTCTTTGAGTGGAAGCCAGGATAGCAGTCCTCCTCTGACCAGGTCCCTCCTCACCCCTCCAGAGGCCTTGAGCACCCCTCCCAGGCTTCAGCCACACCCCAGGGCCGCTCGGGGTCTCTGGCTAGACAGGTCAGACGGCAGACGGCAGGCTTTCTTCCTCCTCTCACCTCTCCCCCGACCTGGTCCTTACCCAAGCCCTGGCCCTTCGCATCAGTGGGTGGGGGAGGTGTCCTCCAGCCCCAGAAGCTCCCGCACAAGTCTCTCACCAAACTGTGCCCGGCTGTACCTCTTCACATGGTAGGCATCCGACATCTTGTAGAGGATGTAGGCGTTGTTGATGGCGATGCTGATGGCAAACCAGAACACCTGCTGCCAGGTCTTGTTGGGTTTATGAGAAATGAAGTACCTGAGTGGACAGAGGGAATGAGAAAGGCTGACCCAGACAGTTCATGAACACCTGCTGCAGGAGAGATATTCCCCAAAGATGTCACAAGATGAAGCCACATCTCCACAAGTTGATGAGAAGGGGTAGGAGTCGGGCTGTGGGGTTCAGTTCTCGCTGAGGCTGTCACCATGAGATTGGTTTAAAACAAAGATGACAGCAATTTCTATCAAAAGATCAGGTGGAAGGAAGTGGGTCAGAGAGGAGACACTGAAACCAGGCTGCTATGGGGTGGTCACCCCACAGAATGGGGTCCAGGCACCCCTCTGCGGTCCCGCAGAGAAGGGCCCCTGCTTAAAAGCTGGGCTCTGGGCATATGGGCTGTTTCCATTTTTAAAGGCCACGCTCACCCTTCGCTTTCGGCTCTGCAAAACGCCTTCTCCCTCCCGAGCGCACATCTCCACCTTTCCAGCTGGAGGGGGACAGACGCCATCTCAGGGAGGCCTCCTCGGCCCCGAGACTGGAGACAGGGCTGCCCTGGGGCTCACTCAGCTTAGGACTGATCACCTTCATGTCTGCCTCTGCCCCCGCCTGCGAGGGGTTTGAGGCTCAGCACCCCAAACGCCAGTTGGCACACACAACCCCGCCAGTGTCTGCTGAATACACAGGCATCTGGGTGGTAACCCCGTGAAACTCAGCGCAGTCCTGAGCACACAGAAGGTATCCAGCAGAGACTTTTGGGGTGAGGCTCCCCACACAGCAAGGCTAAGCAAGGGAGAGTAGGACCCTTATCTTTCCCTCTATGAAGACAAAGTCCGGAAGATACCAGTCACGCTCAGAGAGGGCGGCGTAAGGTTCAGCGCCTCTCTGGGATAACCCAGCCCTGTTCTAGATGGGGACGCCCAGACCTCGTGTCGCTGCACTGGGAGGAACTGGCAGAGTCCAGAGGCTCTCGGGCTGTGCCACAGACCGGCGACGTGGCTGAGCTGTCAGGAGGCCGGGCCTGTCAGCGTGATTCTCTTCCCGATGATTGTCTTAATAATGTTTTCTTTCCTCTACTTGATTAAGACTAGGGCATATAATCATATAATATAAACCAAATAGGTGTTAACCCACTATTTGTTGTCAATAAGACTCCCCGGTCAACAGACTTGAGCTTTTGGGGAGGCAGAGTTACATGCAGGCTTCTGGCTATGCAGGGGGCTGGGCACCTCACCCCTGCACCCTGTAATTTAATGGGCATTTGTTTTCTAGAGTTTCTGCTTGTGGCCATGTTCGGGCGTGGTCAGACATAAGTGGCAGGTGTGGGCACCTGTACACCTTCTAACTGAACTGTGGGCGCATTTGATGTGGGGCTCGGGTCTGAGAGAACTGTTGCGGCTGGTGCTGGACACCATCTGTCTCAGTGTGCAAATGTCAAGGCAGATGCTGTGTCCAGGGATTCGGAGGAGGAGGGCGGGGGGCTGGGGGGAAGGGGTGTGCGGGGTCCAGGTGACTACGGAGGGCAGCACTCTGGCAGCACCCAGTGTGTGGACGGGGAGGCTATCTTGGGCATGGGGGGGCAGGGTGCCCAGAGGTGAGGGGGCTGCATGGGTCCAGCAGGGTGGGAGGCTGGGATGAGGGCTAAGGATGACCCCTCCAGAGTCCTCACTTTTTAACCCTGGCAATGGGGACACAACCCCACCTTTCCAGCTGGAGGGGAACAGACGCCATCTCAGGGAGGCCTCCTCGGCCCCGAGACTGGAGACAGGGCTGCCCTGGGGCTCACTCAGCTTAGGACTGATCACCTTCATGTCTGCCTCTGCCCCGCCTGCGAGGGGTTTGAGGCTCAGCACCCCAAACGCCAGTTGGCACACACAACCCCGCCAGTGTCTGCTGAATACACAGGCATCTGGGTGGTAACCCCGTGAAACTCAGCGCAGTCCTGAGCACACAGAAGGTATCCAGCAGAGACTTTTGGGGTGAGCCCGCCGTACCCCATCTCTCTCCTGGCTCTGCGCGAGCACCCTGCGCACTCACTTGCTGTACTTGTCGTCATATTTGCAGATGTAGCTCAGGTGAGCAGCAAACGCCTCCACGGCCAAGGGGCAGGGGATCTCCACGCTCTTCCTCTTGATGATCACGCCTGCAGAGCAGGGAGGGAGAAATGCCCTCTGAGCACCCCCTGGCACCTCTCACAACTGTGCCTGTGCCGTCTGGCCATCCAGACTTAAATCAGAGCGGAGCTGAGAACCACTCCTGCCCACACCTGTCCCTGGAGGCTTCCGGAGGACCGGAGAGAAGACACCGGGGGCGGGGGTGTCCCCCATGTGGGAGACGTGCCTGAGGCGCAGGGCATCCTGCCTGAGGGGCAGGATGGTTCTCAGTGGCACCGGGGAGGGCGCTGCCTGGCAGGGGCTGGGAGACAAGAGGGAGACGAAACGGAAGCCATCAGCAAAGCCTTGACACGTCCACAGTCTTTGGCTCAACAATTTCACTTCAGGAAATGCCCGAGGCACAACCAGAGATTGAAGTATGAAGATATTCACCACACCGTTGTTCCTTCGGTGGGAAAAATGATGATTAACGGGGGGCAGAGAAAGAAGTCATGACCTCTCTTCAAGGATGGGACAAAGATGGCTTGTAAAATCATGTTTCTGAAGGAAAGGGAAACTTTCTTCATTAAAAAAAGCAGCTGGGGGTCAGCCCTCCCTGGTGGCGCAGCGGGTTAAAGCACAGCACTGAGAATCTAAAGCAGCTTCCGCATGAGTTCGATCCCCGCCTGCCCCGGAGGTGACCACATGGCGTGGCAGACCTCTCCTGACCTGCCCGCTGCTCCCCTCAGCAGTGTACTTCGTCGATCTGCCTGTTCTGCTCCCCACTCTGTCTCTGGCCTATACCCCAGTTCTGTATGCACAAATAAATAAATCTTTAAAAAAAAAAAAAAAGCAGCTGGGGCCCTCCCTGGAGGTGCAGCAGGATCCTGGCCCCGGGGGTGACCCACATGGCCCGGCAGACCACTCCTGGCCCTCCCGCTGCTCCCCTCAGCAGTGGACTTCATCAGTCAGCCTGTTCTGCTCCCCACTCTGTCCCTGGTGAATCCTCTCACCCCCGCACCTCTAGCCTGTACCCCAGTTCTTGTACACATAAGGAAATAAATCTTTAAAAAAAAAAAGCACCACTAAGCAGCAGGCTGGGAATAGCCCCAGAACTCCAGTTTGAACTCTTGGCTTCACTTGCAAGTCCAGTTGGAAACATTTCCTCCGAGGGCGTCTCACACCCCTAGGGAGTGGGGGCTTCCTACCTACCGCTCTATCCCTAAAGGGGCAGTGGCACTCACAGCCTGCACCCTTGGTTATAATCTCCCCTAAAGCCAAATGAGTGTGGGTGGGTGTGTGGGGGGGGGCTGAGGATGGGAATGAATGAAAAACAGACACACCCAGGCACCGAAGCTCCCTGGCAGTGAGCCTTTAAGAGGAAAGATGTCTGGATATACAGGAACACAAGGCATTTGTCAAACGCTATATGACTGTAAATATTTTTGTAGAGTTCCTTTGTCATTTCCAGTTCCTTTTGAAGAGCTTAATAATATTTAGCTGTAGTTACTTTAAACCTAGACTCCCTGCCAAATAAAGCCCTGTGATGAATGAATTTTAAATCCCTCATAAAATGAAGGATGAAATCAAATGAACATCTGCCTCCCGCCCAAACAGAGGCAAAGCAAGCGTTACCATCTAAGGCAGACGCTGAAAGGTAAGAGGGTTGCTTGTTTTCATTCCAATCAAAGGAGGCTTTTCACAAAATCCAGGATGAAAAAGCGATCATGGGCCTGGCACTCAAATACAGAACATTGTCACTCCTAGTGGATGATCTGGGGGGGCCGAGGGCAGGCTGCTTAGTCACCTGCAGAACCCACAATCAGGGTTCCCCTCGACAGCTGACACCAACAGGGAGACTTCTCATAAGGCAGCAGCTGCAACAAGGCCCAGAGGCTGCTGAGCCGCAGGCGGGCCTGCCGGGGCTGCACAACACCAGAGGACACCGGGCCCCGAGCCACAGTCGTGCTCAAGACCACCACGATCCCCTCTGCCAATCCCCCTCCCCCAGACTGGTGTGCCCCCACCTTGCTGTACGGGCGAGTAGGCATTGGTCAGGAAGCGGAAGTGACCCTTGTTGTACCAGCAGATCAGAGACATGTTCCCCTTCATCTTGATCCGATGCTGGCCCCGCGCTGGGGGGATGGCCGGGTTGGTCAGCATGGACAGCGGCAGGCCTGTGCAGTCACTCTTCCTGGAGCTGAGGAGGCCGCAGCAGTAAATCCCTGGTGGGGAGAGGGACCCCAAGGTGCACGTATATTATCAGGACACCAGTGGCTCACCCACCCCGGGGTGCTCGTGGGAAGGATGGAATTGCTCCCTTCTAAGGCCATGACAGCAGGCTCTCTAGAAGGCTTCTAGAAGAGACTCTAAAGCTGGGCTTTCTCTCTCTCTCTCTCTCTTTTATAATAGTTTATTTTTACATCATTTTGTGGCTTTTCCCATCTCAGTTGTAATCCCCTTGGGCTTCCCATCACCAAATCACCCGTGTGCCATCAGCACAGTCCAGTGCATTTCCGTCCCCCCACACACTTTTGATCCCATTCCTCATTCCACCCCCATAAAATAAATGTCTCTGGTATGTAGTTGTTCATTATGTTCCTCCTATCAGTGAAACCATCCAGTATTTTTTCCTTTTCTTTCTGGCTTATCTCACTAAGCATGATTGCTTCCTTTTAGCTCCATCCATGCTGCTGCAAAAGACAAGCATTTATCTTTTTGATTGCTGAGTAATATTCCATTGTGTGTATGTACCACATCTTTTTAATCCATTCATCTAGTTTTGGGCATTGGGTTGTTTCCATGTCTTTCCTATTGTAAATAAATAAAGCAGCAATAAACATGGGGGTGCAGGTGTTAAAGCTGGGGGATCTGCTGGGGGATCCCAAATCTGCTGTCTCTGTCAGGACTTCAGTAAGTGTATTTAGGATTATGAGTAAAACTGTAACATAAGCAGTGAAGCTATAGTAACAGTAGGAGCTCATTGTCAATGATTACTATGTGCTCAGCACATGTCCCTGCCCTCCCAGTTGCTTCTAGAAATTTCTGCACTCAGTGGGTTATTGTATCTATATAACAACAGAGGGGCTGCAGCTACCTGTGTCCCCTGGCTCACAGTTAGGAAGGCAAAGGTGGATTCATGCAAGTCGGTCTGATGTCCAAACCTGACCATAATTAGGTCACCCTAATTATCTCCCCAGACTTCGACTGGTGGAGACCCAGCACCCAGAGGCAGCCATGCCGGAAAGTCCCTTCCCCTTGGAGAACTAAGTTAAATGCAGAGGACAGAATCAATCAGAGAATATGCATTAGGCCTGTGGACATAAGTGCCTATGAGTCAGTGCGGCAGCTTCCTGGGCGAGGAGGAGATTGCGTGTGGCCTCCCACGCGGTTGAGTCCACTCGGGTGGTGGGGGTGGGAAGGTCGACGCTCACGTGCGATTAGGGATGAGGAGACCTCACTAGATTCACCCTGGGCTCAAGGTCTGGCCCTGTCTTCCTTCCTCATGGACCTGCCCTGCTTGGGCTGGCCAGCAGTGGGTGGCTCCCTGCAGCCTGTCAGACTGGGCACCTGCAGGAGAGCTGAAGTGGCACTTCTGGCTGGAAACCCTGGGAACTCGTCTCTTTTGCTCTCCAAAAGCTGAAGACAGACAGTATGGTCAGCAGCTGGAGACACTGTTTCCCCTGCATAAACCCTCTTTACAAACCCCGAAAGGACCATTCTTCATCTCCTTATCCCTCCCGCCCCCCCTCCATGCCCCCCAACCCTGTGAGCAGCAGGGAGCTTGAAGCAAGACCTTCTGGGTTGTACCTTCCAGGCTTGTTGTTAAAAAGAAGAGACTCCCAGCTGCTCGAACCCTGTAAATGGAACTATGCGAGTCACCCCAGCCTTATGGTTGAAGGTGAAGAGTGTTTCCAAACAGGGGAGGGCATTAGCTGAGGGGGGATGAGGATGAGGGATGAGGACATTCTCTCTCCTCTGGGCTCAGCGCACCCAACCAGCCAAAGCACAACTGCAGTTCTGCGGAAGGGTTCGAGGAAAATCTAAGTGTTGTTCGGGTTTTCGCAAATCTGTTCCTTGCTGAAAATAGCAATTACAACATCACTGTCTTTTCTGGCTCTATTTTACAAAGACGTCTCTGCACCCCGGGAGGACACATTCTCACGACTAGTCCTTCAGCTGTGGCTGCCCCCAGACTCTCAAGGGGCTGTAAAAAGCACACTTGACATTTGAGAACAATGCCTGGGGTGGGTACAGCCAGATCCATGGCCACGATGGAGCGCTGCCTTCCTGAACTCAGGGGCCCAGCCGTGTGAAGGGTCAGCAGCCTTAGATAATCCCGCCACACAGGCATGAAATCTTTGCCCACTCTTGGAAAAACTCATATTTCATGTCTAAGGGTTTTCCTCCCACCAGAAGAGTGTTTTCCATCTTCTCCTTAATTCTTTGCACTGGGGACCACCTCCTACTCCCCAGAATCTAAGGCCTGTACATGCAGCACTGTGACAGTTTTTGGCATCCTCAATCTGCAATCACCCACCCCAGGTCACTCCCTTGATGCACCCCCCCCCCCGCCTCTGGATCCTGGGTTGCTCACACAGGGAGGCGGGGAGCAGTCCTCTGGACCCCAGGGGCTTCACACCCCATACACAGCACACGAGCAGGGAGTGGCAAGGCAGGCTGGCTCTCATCCATGCCCGCACAGGGGCCTGGCGTGGCTGGTGACACAGCTGAGGGCCAATTTTCTCCAAGTCCTCACTGAATTCTCTCAGCAATGGAGTACTGAGCCCATCTGGGCTGAGTGACACAGTCCAGGCCAGCAGGAGCACAGAGTCGGGGCGCTGCCTCCTCATCACAGCCGTGGACTCACAGGTTGGCAGCTGTGGGCTCCCTGTAACTTTGAGAGGGTTTAGTTTTAAGGCCAGATACCTGGCCCGTTGCTAAGCAACAGTCTGCCACCCGCTGGCTGCCATCACTGAGTGGAGCGTTTTGAGTCTCTCTTGAGTGGACCAGCTATAAATCTCCAAAGGTGGCACCAGGTGAAGGCCAGTGCTGACCTGGACCAGATTGTTTTATGGAGCCCCACCCTGTCTCCAGCACCTGGAAGGCTGGCCCAGTCTTGGCAGAAAATGAAACAAGCCCCAGGGGGACTAGGCCTTTCTGAGGTCCATGGTGTGGTGCTGCTTGTACACAATTCTCTGCAGCACCTACTGCAAGGAGCCACACTGTGGTGGGGGCGAGCTCAAGACACTTCCTTACAGCCTTAGAAGTTGTGCCTTGGTGCTGTAGATTGAATGGATGTCTGAGCCCCCCACCCCAAGACCCCATGTTGAAAAACCAAAGTCCCAAGTGGCAGTATTAAGAGGTGGAAGCTTTTGGGGGTGCTTAGGTCAGGAGCACGGGTCCTTCATGAAGGGGACTAGGCCCTTCTCTAAGGGACCCCCACAGCACTCCCCCGCCCCTCCCTCCCTCGAGGACGCAGTGGAAGTGTTATAGGGCACCTCAGTGTGAACTGGGCTGCCTATCTGTGGGTCCTCACCCATGCACTTAAAATTTAATTGTACTGCAGGCACACAAAAAGGGTCAATAATGGGTTTATTTACAAAAGGGGAAAGGAAAAGGAACAGTCCAGGGAAAGAGAGAGAGAGAGGAAGGCTGTCCTAAAGGAACTCTACAGAGTTTTGTGGACTCCACCCCCTAGTCCAGGAAGCTGGGGGTGGAGTCCACAAAATTCTGCAGAGTTCCTTTAGGACAGGCTTTCCCCCTAATAGAAGGAAGCACAACTTTGAAGAGGCCCTCACTGGGGCCTCACCACACAGGCTCAGCCTCCAGGAGTGAAAAACAAACTTGGTGTCGACAAGCCACCAGCCTGTGGTATTTTTCCTGACTGCTGAAGCAGAGAACACTAGCACTCCTCAGTTGGCCATGACCTCAGAACCAAGGACAAGGTGCTCTGCTCCCAGACCACAGAGCTCAGGTGGCCCAGGCCCAGCACAGACTGGGTGGGCCTGTTCCCCGGGGAAGGGCCCCCTTGCCAGGCATCCTGTGTTCTGTGCTGGGCCGGACACGCCGGCAGCCGCAGACTTCCCCCACCCCGTCTCCAGGAGGAGGGGTCATGCTCAGAACGCCCCAGGCCGGGACAAACCTTGCTTCTCAAACTCTTCAAACAGCGTCAGGCTGGTGATGCTGGGCCCGGTGAAGATGATGTAGTTCTTGCCCGCCGCGTTCCGGCACAGGCTCCGTGCCACCATGCTGTGGAGCTGGGGTTTGTTCTTCAGCGCATCCAGCCCATCGGGGTCCCCTCCTTCCTTCAGATGGACGTAGATCTTCAAGAGAAACAGGCAGGGTCAGAGGGCTCACAGAGGAACCGGCAGGCCCGGAGTCGGCGGAAGCAGCTGTCCTGGGCTGGGGCCCTGCAGGCAAGTTGTCCCTTCCTTGGGCCACTCAGTTGCTACCACCCTGTCCTGTCCTCAACCCAGCCAGGGCTCAGGTCTCCAAGGCCACCTGCAACCGAGGCGGCTCAGCTCAGCTCTCCAGCATGGAGAAGTCAGAAGGAAGAGAGCGGATGATACAGGCAGTCTGGCAGCTGAGGCCAGTGAAAACCAGCCCCCAGTTCTGCAGCCTGGAAACGACATCAGTGGACACTAAGAACAAGTAAAACCTACGTCACTGGGAAGGGCACACTTTTCTGGGCTCCGTCCGTTTCAGTACAGCTTATTTTTTTTTAATTCTTTTTTAAAAATAACATAGCAGTTTAATTTTGCATCATTTTGTGCCTTTTTCCATCTCAGTTGTCATCCCCGTGGGCTTCCCATCACCAAATCACCCATGTGCCATCACCACAGTCCAGTGTACTTCCCTCCCTCCACCCCCATTTGTGATCCCATTCCCCACCCCACCCCGTAAAATGTCTCTGGTATATAGTTGTTCATTATTATTATTATTATTTCCACCCCCCCCCCCGGTCCGTTATACTCCTGCTATGAGTGAAACCATCCGGTATTTTCTTTTTCTTTCTGGCTTATTTCACTAAGCATGATCCCTTTCAGCTCCATCCATGTTGCTGCAAAAGGCAGGAGTAATATTCCACTGTGTATATGCACCACATCTTTTTAATCCAGTCATCTACTTTTGGGCATTTGGGTTGTTTCCATCTTTCCTATTGTAAATAAAGCAGCAATAAGCATGGGGGTGCAGGTTCAGTACAGTTAATTTTAATTCACAAAGTGTGGCCACAGTTCTTTCCCTTATTCTTTTCAGTAACCACCACACAGGCAGAAGAGGTTACATTCACTTCCTGCAGGGGAAGAGATAGTGTCAGGGGCTGAAACTCACATGAGGGCCAGGGCCCAGCAAACACAATGTGCTGGAATCTCTAAGGAGAGACTGGATAAGTCAGTGACCAGCGAGTAAGTGGTTCCCTGAATTCTGTGAGCTGCTCTAGCAAATTGAACCTGAGGCGGGACAATGAGCACCTCTGATTACGCAGGTGTTGGTCAGAAGCCCCAGTGACAGCGTGTGACTGGCGGCTGAAGCCTAAGGAGGGGCCTTGACGGCCTCTCCAGACTCAGGGTGTCAGAACTGAGCAGAGCTGCGTTTGCCTTTCCAACACCCTGCTGGTGTCCGAGTTGCTTGTTGCCGGGCGCCCTACACACACACCCATGCTGACAGCTGGCCGGGGACCCTGACTCACCTGTGCCCAGCAGGCGCGGGCCCAGCCCAAGCAGCACCACCTGCGCCTGTGACGGGAGGGCAGGACGGGGCTCACCTGGAGCCCCTTTGCTCTGCGGGGGCTCGGAGCTGCTCCTGCCTAGGAATGCTCTCGCTCGCTCGGGCAAGGCAGAGGCGTGGGGGAGGGCCTGCGGGGTGCTGGGAGAGGGCAGGGAATGAATGCAAATGCCCTGTGCTTTGGGCCCAGGGCTGCAGCCAGGTGGGGTGAACTGTGACCCCAGGACTGGAGAGCTGACGGATGTCCTGAGCCACACAGCAGGGAAGCCCAGCACAGGACAGCAGCCACCTCTCAGGTGCCGCCTCCTCCATCGTGCCAGGCTGCCCTTCTGCTGTGCCCTGAAGCGCCACATCCAGCACTCTTCCTGCACTGGGTCCACTGAGGTGCTGCCTCCTCTAAAGTGGGCACCCGAGGGGGCCTGGAGCAGGGCAGGGCCAGGAGCCCTGCTCAGCGGCCACACCCCTGCTGAAGGCGAAGGCAGCCAGCTGCCTGGGCGCCTGTGAGGAAGGCTCCTCCGGACAGAAGGTGAGCCGAGAGTTGGCAGGTGGGGCTTCTGGCGCCGCCACAGAGCAGGCTCTCAAGAGGCTCCCAGACAGCCCCTTCGGGGGCCCACGGCTGGGGTGCAGCCCCAGGTGCGCAGCAAGAGCCTGGGCTTCGATGAGCGCTTACTGCTGCTGTCTAAGCCGAGGTGCTGGAGAGGCAGGGGCGATGCCAGAGGTGCCCAGCCCAGTGAGGGGGGCAGCCCAGCTGGCGCCGGGGCATTCTGGTAGGGTGCAGTGAAGGGGTGAGGGAGCTCTTGAGTGACCCACTGAGCCGAGGCCCTTCGATCGTCTCCCCCTGGCCTCCCGGACCCACCTGGATGATGAAGCCAGTGGAAGAACACTGCCTGACCCACAGGCTGAATTTCCGTTTTTTCCTCTTGCGAAGCTCCCGCTCCGTGCATGTGGCGATGAACACAGGGTCCTCGTCAATCAGGGGTTCATGTAGCACCTGCAGAAAAGAAAAAGCAGGGATCCTCGAGGAAGGCGGAAGGAGCTCAGAGGGGCATCAGGGTGGGCTCAATCCCGTCTCCGCCTTTGACCAGTTGCAGGACCTTGGCTAAGTCATTTTCTCTCTCGGGTCCTGAGTCTCCTAATCTACAAAGGGTTATTAGCTCTACCAACACCAGCATTTTGGGGAGGGTAAAAAAAAAATTGTAACAAGACCCTTAACACAGGCCTGACATATTAGAAGTATATAGCAAATGGGGTTAATAATACTTAATAGTACTAATATTAGTATTGGCCTCAGTCCCCAGTCCAAAGTCCCCCTTGGTGCCGGGATCGCGTGCAGGGCCTGCAGCTAGCTAGCCTTGCTGGGCGGGAGCCTCTGCTTTACAAACGAAGCTCCACCTACTCATAGGTCCTTCTCATTGCCGCAAACTTACCCTGCCTCTTTTTTTCTTTTAATGATTTTCCTTTTTATGCATACAGAACTGGGCTACAGGCCAGAGGTGCAGGGGCAGTGAGAGGATGCACCAGAGACAGAGTGGGGAGCAGAACAGGCAGATTGATGAAGTACACTGCTGAGGGGAGCAGCGGGCAGGTCAGGAGAGGTCTGCCACGCCATGTGGTCACCTCCAGGGCGGGGATCGAACTTGCTATAGCCAGCTTGCAGTGCTGCGTCCCAACCCATTGTGCCACCAGGGAGGGCCAAACTTTCCCTGCCTTTAAGTTAAACCTACTGATCCTACATCATCTCTATGAGGAACAAATGCCCACATTCTTCCCCACGCTCCCACGTGGGACCACCGCCCTCTTTTCCAGACTGAACTCTCTCTTTGCATAAACCACGGCCGACATGACTCCGTTTCCTCATGGCCTGTGACGCCAGCAGCCTCTGGCTCGCCTCCTCTCCTTTCGGACACGGGATCCCCAAAACAATTTGTACACTTATTTCATCTATTTCAACTTCTTCATACTACGGTGATAGGACTTTTGTAAAGACCATAAGAAATATGGCATAACAAAAATAGGTTCCCTGCAGTGCTCAGAGGTTTTCTTCTGTTGAAGCTTTGGGGCAGGCAGAGATTTTGGGGTCAATTTCAAGAATCTGTTTTACTTCCCTCCCCAATCTGATTATGACTTGCAAAGTATCTAGTCCATGGCAATGGAGCGTGTAGGGGATATCATGTCCCAGGAATTCTACATATCTCCAGAGCAGGGGACGGCAGCCTGTGGCCTTTCAGATGCACCTCCTGTTAGAAATGAAGGTTTTATAGGAATCTGAAGCTACCGAGTGTAGCGTCCTAGCTGCACCAGACACCCTGAGCCCTGTGGCCTCTAAGACACTCCCTGCTAGGCCGCTGGCACAAGGATACGCCAGCCTCTGCTGTCCACTGGTACTCTTCAACCTTTCATGAGTGAACCAGCTATCTGGGGGTCTAACCAAGACGTGGATTCTGATTCAGTAGGTTTGGCGGGGGGGGGGGGCTGTCTCTGCATGTACAATGCTGCACAGGATGTGAGAATGTGGTCTGACAAGGGAGGAATGGACGAGAGTTCCCCCTACTTGTGATCTGGACTCCATCCATGTTGCTATGAACTCCATCCTTCACTCATGTGGCCGGGACGGCATGCTACCACCCCCAACAGCTGCCTGTGGGGTGCTGTGTGGTCACAGCTGTGCAAAATGGCCCCAGGCTCCTCTCCCCCATCTTGTGCCATGGAGGAGGGACTGGCGCTCTGCTGGCCTGTGTCCCCCTCCAGCTCCCCGCCTCGCAGGCTCTTGTGCCTGCTTCTCTCACTCAGTGGTTCCAGGTCCTCATGCAACACTTAAGGTCTATTTGGAGTCATTCTAGCAAAATGCCCAGCTCTCCTGCACGGGGAGGACATGGGGCAGAGGGGAAGCATGTGGCCCGAGGAAAGGCTGTGTTGCCTGCCTGTTGCCCGGCCAGCGAGCCTTTTTCAAAAAGCGTGTTGCACACGGAGGCCACTGGAACTCTCGCTCATCTCCGGAAGCCCAGCCTACATGGATTCCACTTGCATTAGGCGTACAATCAGTTGCAAATTTAGATTTAATCAGATGCCTCCAAAGATTTAATCACATGCCTTCTTCTTTGCTATCATCATGGTGTGAATTCTCACCAGGGCAAGTCTCCATGAGCCCAGAGAAGTTCGTCCCATGTCTCTGCAACCACATGTGCCAGAGACCCGTGGCCTTCTCCCCAGGAGGCAGCCAGGCAGGCCAGCCCCTTGGCCCCTTCTGCATAAGCTCACCGGGGGTGTGTCAATGGAAAGACAGCACCCATTCATTTACCTGCATAGTCCTCCCACCCCCAAAACTCCTCTAAGGAAAGAGCCCCAAGTTTTGAGGAAATGAAGTGCCTCCCATTTTGAGTTTGTGTGTAGTCACACGCATGGGGGTACACAACACACACATGTACACACACCCCAACATGCTCTCCATCCAGGGAGCCTGGGGCTGACGCTGCATGAGTTCTGAACCCAGCCCAAAGGTTACTTTGCTGGAATAAAAATGCGCTGGAGTTTGCAGGGCAGAGGGTGTGTGTGTCTGCCCACGGAGCAGGGAGTATGCTGTGTGCTGAGGGGATTATTATACTTAACGGGGCGGAGGCAGCCTGAGTAAATTCATCCTTCAGATCACGGCAGGCAGGAGTGAACGCCCTCCTGGGAGCCTGCAGATGGGGGAGGCAGACAGCAATGGCAGCCGGCCCACGGCTCTGTCCCCTTGTCCTTGAACTGAGTGCCCCAGGATCCAAACCGGGGATTCCAGAGGGGGATCAGAGGGAGCCAGGAAACTGTAGGGTTTCCATTCACTCTAAGCAGAGATCACCATAAGAACCCACTCTTTTTTTAAAGGACAAAAAATGCAGGAATCAAGTTTAATGGGGCCAGAGCAGAGGACGATGGGACGAGAGCCACCCCACAGCAGTGGAGCCCTCCCGGTGCAAGCCAGAGCTGGCGTGGCGGGGCCGAGCGGATTCTCCATCAAGGAAGAGCCTGGTAGGAACCCCGGGCCCACAGGAAAGTCTAATCACATAAAACGCAATCATGTGTTGAGGTAGTGATTCATCACGGGCTGACAGAGCTGACTCAACAGCACCCAGTCAGGAGAAAGGAGCCAGCTAACTGGAAGACAGGCCAGGGGGCTTAGCTTTTCCTCTGCCACGTGCTCCTGTCTGTTCCCCCAGACACACCTACCTACCCTGTGCTGTGGCCCCGAGACCCACCTTCTGTAAGCCACACCCCCAGACCCCCTTCCCCTAGGGGCTAGTGCGCTTGGCCAGCTGGGAAGCTGAGAAAGAGGCCAGAGAGTCACTCCTGGCCTGCCCACTGCCCAGCCTGTCCGCAGGTGATGGCCTTCACTGCACCCAGCCTTGCTCCCCCTCCTGGCTCCCACCATCACTAACGGTGCATCGCCACTGGTGCGCTCCCCGATCACACCCCCAGCCCCCGCCTCCACTTCTCTCCCACTGTCTTGCAGGGACCACTGCTGTGTCCTGCTGGATTCTGACAGTTTGTAGGCCACTGGGTAGAAAATGGTAACAAAAAATCCCAGGGCATTGCCAATTCAAAGATTAAAAAAATAATCAATATAAAGTGAAAAGGAAAGGGGCCCTCGCCATGACCAGGGAGGCCTCCCTCTAACTGAACCCCAACGCAGACGCCTTCTCTCAAGGGCCAAGAAAAGACGTAAACTAGAAGGATTACATGGTCACCTCTTCAGGTTCTCCTTGGCCCTCACCCCTGCCTGAAAGCTGCCCACCTGAGCCAGGTGGCAGGGTGAGCAGCGCTGCCCCAGACTCCAGCCACCCACACAGCCAGCCCACTCAGGGCGCCTGGGGCTGGAAGGGGCACGGCTGCAGATCTCAGACTAGCTGGTGGGCACTGCAGGGTGCCTGAGAGCTACCCCATCCTCGGGCACACATAGACATGGTGACGTCCTGGACTTGGGCCTCTGGGCTCTCACAGGGGCGTGGGGCTGGCACACGTGCCGTGCAACAACATGAGCACAGCCATGGTGGAGGCTGCCTCGTCAGGGGCTGGCAGGATGCATGGCAATTCACCTGCAGGCTGGGGGTGACCTCAGAGCAAGGCAGAAACAGGAAGGGGCTCCAGGGGTGCCTCTGGGTCCCTGGGGGTCTCCTGCTGCCATAGCGGGGCAAAGGGGCAGGTGAGTGCTTCCCGGGCACTGGCCTCACCTGGGTTTGGGAGGGCCTGAAGGCCGAGTCGAAGCCATTCTGCAGGGAGTCGAGGAACGGCTGGACCTTGTAGAGGCCGTGCGTGGTCTGGCTGGAGCGGAAGGCCACGACGTGGAAGTACTTGAGGATCTTCTCGAAGCGGGCCTGGCTCATGACCAGGGCGAGGCTCCTGTTGCTGTAGAAGCCGCTGCTCCAGATGCTGAGGACAGACTCGCAGTGGGAAATGCTGGTGGAGATCATGTAGCCCAGGAAGGCCTTCATCTCCGTGAGCGTCACCTCCACCCAGGCGCCGTCACTGCCGAAGCGCTCCTGGAACTTCTTGGCGTACATGTTCGTCTGCACCACCATGTTCTTGAGGACGTTATCCGGGACGAAGAGCTGGAAGAAGTCCATGGCGCTGGCGCTGGGGGGCATCTTTCGGGTTGGACCTAAACAGATGCAGACCACGTGTTTCCTGGACCCCTCATTCCCAGTCCCGCACAAGGCTGCCCCCCAAGCACCACCTTTTCCCCCGAGCAGCACAACCTCTGCACCCCGTTTGGTGTCTGATCTCCCCGCAAACAGCAGCGGGGGCCCTGCCCGTTGCGAGGGGTGTCCTGCTTGCCAGCCCGCCAGCGGGCTCCCCTCTCCACTCTGCACTTGCCATGTTCTTACAGACCTGGCGATTCAGAAATATTGATCCGAAGAGAAAGGTTCACAGAAGTAGGGGGTGGGGGATAGAGACAGAGGCGTACCCAAGTCTTACACCGAGGCTTGGCTGTGGCTTTCTGGCTTTTGTATTGTTCTAAGTTAGGGTGACTTTGTACATCAAAATGGTTTCAGCTCCGGGGGGCCTGGAAAATTTCATCAGGTGAGGCTGCAATTTTTATTAGGCACAGTCTAGGTGATATTTCTCCAGTTATTAGTGAATGAGTCTGATGGGCAATTTTAGGTAATTTCAGCAACACAATAAAGCCTCAGCTTTTGACTGATGCAATCTTTTGAGATATATAACAACACATCACACACATATATGTAAGCGACGCATCTGTGAGACACAGCTTCACTTCGTGTAGTGACTTAAGCTAGCAGAGCTTTGCAGCGACAAGCTTTATTCCGATTGCATTTTTAAGAAAAGGGTGCACAGGCTCCAGAATTTTGCCCCACTTCTTCCTCTGTCACTGCAATTCAGGCATTCTCTGAAAAGCAAAATCAAAACTTACCTTGTACGTGTACAGTCCAAGCTTTACATGCAAGAATTGAATGCGCTTTTAGTCAACTGCGCGCTATCAAGCTTCATCTGTAAAATGGGCGTAGCAACAGCTGCTTTACAAAGACTGTTCTGTGGGAAGCATAAGTGGGAGAAATCCACCCTACTTAGTAAGGTACCCCAAACTTGGTTGGATGCCTTTACTGAGACATCATCAATGGAAGTTCACCAAGGCGGGCCTGAGAGCTTTCCAATGCTCTGGCTGACCTTAGTTTACAGAAGACACAGGCCCGACAGCAAAATGTCCACCAGAGCCACTTTCACCAACTATCTTCTGGAAGGGTGACAGGTGTTTCTGCTGCCACAGGCCCCAAGCTGCTCTCAGAGGTGGCAGTGCTGGCTGGCATGCCAGGAGGCAGGGGACCCCGGTAGCAACAGCAGCCTGAGCGCCACACCCAGCCCTAATGAAAATCGCTTTATTTCAGGAAAACTTTGCAGCCGCTGGTGGACGAAGCCATAAATTATTCAGGGGTAACTCTCAAAAAGGAGGAAAACCAACCTTTTAATTGCTACATCATGCTGAATAAGCAGAATAAAATTTTCTCTTCCAAAAGCTAAAGAGGAATTTTGCCTCCCAGGCCATTTCACTATGAATTTACGCAGCATACTGGCATGACCAGCAGCTTAATGAAGACACTGGGAAGACACTGGCTCCTTCTCTGCCTTGTTTGATTTAAAGCTCTCCCATGGCCTTTTTCAGCAGGGATGATCCCTAGTATTTGAAAATTGGTGGCACAGGCCAGTCTTTGGGAGAAGGGAGGGGTGGGCAGAGAGAGGAAGAAGAAAGGGAAGGAGACAACATTGTTGAGGACATTTGTTCTCTATCACCCACTTAATAACACGTCCACTTAGTAAAGTGGGCCTGGTCTGGGTAGCATCTCAACCACAAGACACCCTTACATTTGATTTGTTTACAGGGAGCTTTTCCAGACATGACCTCACATGACTCTCAGAACAGCCCTGCCAAGCGAAATCCTATTCTGCAGGTATGAAATAGGAGCTCAGAAGTGAAAGGACACAGCCCAAGGTCACCCACTTCTGAGCGCCTTTGTCCTACCTGGCTCAGGCCAAGTGCACCCGCCGCCTGTTGTACCTGTAACAGGGCCCTCTGCTCTCACAAGTGTCCCATGGGCACAAGAAGGGCTATGGCTGGCACACTCAATGACCTCCTCCACCTCCAAAGTGCACACGTCTCACAGTGGACCAAGTAAGATTAAGTGCAAAACCAGAAATACCTCTGAACCAAAAGGAGAATCTGCATTGCAAAACATGCAAAGGTGCTGTATCTACAGGAGAAAGATGGATGTTGCTGAATCTGCTGTGGTCATCATCTCACAATATAGGTCGTAAATCACGCCTGTCTGCTGAACATCTTAAACATACACAGTGATTCTTGTCAATAAAACTGGAAAACGCACACACACATACACACAGTAAAGGCACATGGCTTTGGGCCAGGTCAGCCAGGAACATGCCTACGAGAGACCTGCATGGGCAGGGCAGGGGTGAGACTGAGGACACCCACTGCCCATGGGCTCTAGGAAGCCAGGTGGATGGGCCCAGTGAGTTCTGGAGTGGGAGACCCCTAGGAATTCAGAGCACTGATTGGTGGCAGAATGGGGGTACACATCACAGGGGACTAACCGTTCCGCAGCCTAGGGGAGCCGACTCCCTCAGTTTCTTCCTTCCCTTTCTGATCTGGGGGAGACCAGTCAGACCTCCTCTTGGCCCTCCCTCCTGGGCCACACAGAATTCCTGCACCTCAGTTTCCTTATGGATCAGAAGAGGGGAGAACTGTCACAGGTGAGTGGCATCGTCTGACCTTGACAGGGCCACAGCCTGTCCCAGCTGTCTCTGTCCTACCCTGACCACGGGATATGAGGACCCTGCTGGTGTCTCTCACACTCTGCCCACTTCACAGCCATCAGCCCACATCCCGAGGCAGCTGGCTACCCTGCAGGTGGCAATGATCCCTCCTTGACCCCGTCTGGAAGAACAGAGTGGCTCTGTGTACAGTCCAAAGTGCGACCTCTTAGACAGGTGTGCTCCTTTTGAGAGAGATGAGAATGTACCCCTAGTATTTAGGGGCTGCAAGTGATCAGCAGTTTTGTGACATAGATAAGGATCACGGTATTCTGCATTAAAGGTTTAAAATGATGAAGTGATTTATTTCCAGGCTAAATGAAACAGGTATAAAAATACAACAGGAACATCCTGTATCACCACAAGAATATTCCTGACAATTACATCCCATAAAGGGTGAGGTAGAAAATAGCCACCCCCCCGCCCAGCATTGTTCCCGAGCCAGAGCAGCTGGGCTTTCTCTGGGCTAAATGAATCCTCATTTCTCTTCCTTCTATTTCCCAAGCTGTGGAATTCAGCCACTGGCCTTTCAAGGGCTTCACAGCTTGCTTTATTTAACCCTGTCATTCCCAGCTAGGGGACTGGGATCAAACTCAGTTCTTAGCTGGATCAAGTGGTCTTCACTAGGGGGTAGAGCCCTGGACTGAGCGCTCCCACTTATTCCTGACCCGCTTTGGCCAACAGCATATAACTCACCCCCTTCTCACTGGGCAGCTGTGAGCAGTGTGAACGTTCCCCTTTCTGGTTCGGTCTGGTTAGATTCAGAGGAGTGTCCATCCTCTGCCTGGTACCTTCCAGCAGAGGGCACACAGCGCAAGCCAGGTGGGTACCAGTTTATTCCCCGGGACCGGAGGAAGCATGCAGAAACACGGCCCAAAGGCCCCGAGGCCACCAGGTGTGACACATGGTATCAGCTGGAAGCTTCCTTCCTAGGGAAATGTCCCAGGTGCTCCACGCACATGGGCGTGGTTCTTCCTGAGCCAGGGCCACACAGTGGCTGGCAAAGAAAATGGCAATTTTGAAAACGATTTTGGAGTTGAGCATCTGAATCAGCCGATGTCGTTCATGGGAAATATGGGCTGTAGAACCATCGGGGAGTCTTTGGCTAGCAAACATAGGCCAGTGACCAGGACTAGGGGTCAGGAGACGAAGAACGGTGTGCAGAGAACAGGTGACAGGCACCTGAGACTGATGTATCAAAATGTGTAACGATTCACCTTCAAAAATGTTCACTATGTGGGGGCACAGACACCTCTAAGAACTAGTCTAGTTCCTGTGGTCCGTTTGGGCTGCAATGCAGAATACCTCAGGCTGGGTGGCTTACACACAACAGGAATTTATTTCCCACGGTTCTGCAGGCCTGAAGTCCAAGATCAAGGTCAGGCTGATGGATGGTGTCCTTGAGAGCCGTCCTGGCCCCTGGGGCCATCTTCTCACTGTGTAGCCGTAACGCCCAGGGAGCGCTCCTTTAGAGGACACTCATGCCATCACCAGGGGATGCCCCCGTGACCTAGTCACCCCTGAAGTTCCACCTCCTGACACCATTACATTGGGGACTGGATTTTAGCACACGAAATTGGGGGGCGGGACACAAATATTCACCCTGTAGCCCTCTTGGCACTATGGGCTCCTTATTAATAGAGTGCAGATAACCACAGCATGGACTTGACAGAGGGGGTGAGGATGAAGGGGGAAACGCGTATCCAGACCGAAGGCGCCCTGCACAGTGCCCCGCTTTGATGGGTGCCCGATAACGGCGCCTAGTCACCTGCTCATCCTTTATCACAGGCTTCTGTGGCTCTTCCCGGAGCCACTCACCAGCTGGCAGTCACAAAGCAGCAGCTCTAGCGACTGGCCGGAGTTTATATTTCATTTAGACACGATTTTTCATATGAAGCTGTATTTTGAAAGTCTCTGCTCTCTGCCTGGGGACAGAAAGGACAGCAGGAGTGTTCTTCCCACTTTGGCAGAACCAGATGGGGAGAGGATGCAGTGGCGAGAAGTCGCGGGGTGCCATCCGACGCCCGCCCACCTCAAGGCGCCCACTTTCTGCAGAGCGACAGTCTGCACGGGTCACCCAGAGAGTTTGCTGATTTCCTCCATGATTCCACAGCTCTCCCCTGCTCCCCCCACTCTGCTCCAAGCACCCTATGGCAGTTTGCCAGGTGCGTGTCTCGTTTCCATCTGCATGGGCTGCTCTCCTCCTTCACAACTGCCCCCCGGCTCATCGGGGTCACCGATGTCCCCACCTGCCTGGCAGCTCTGGCCGGTCCCACACACAGGCCCCCAGGCATACCAGAAAGGCAACGAGTCGGG